ATAGTCCTATTTAAGATGTTTAGTGCATGTTCGAGTCCTCTTTCTTAAAACAATAGGAACATCAATATTAGTATTGAAGTAGGAGCAGAGATTACATTACTAAATCAAGGGTGGATTCATAACAGGGCTTGGATGATTCAGGTGCTTTTCCTTTGTTTCTTCTAGTATAGATATGTAGCTCACTAGCTGCAGGTAATGTGTTCTCTGTAATTAGTTTTGGTTCAGGTTTTAGGGAAGGTTTGTCTGGTGAGAAATGACTTTGTGAATATAGAAGAGGTATACTCACATCCCATAACTGATATTTCTGAGTAAATGTCTCTCCCTGAATATCAGTTATGGGGTAAAAATGTTGGTTTTAAAAAAATGACATCCATTGTATTATAGAAGCGATGAATTTTCGGAACTAGACACTTGTAGCCTTTTTGATTAACGGAGTACCCAACAAAAATGCATTTTATGACTCTTGGGTCAAGTTTCCCACGGAAGTGTCTGTGAATATGGACATAAGCTGAACAACAAAAAATTTTGAGTGGTAATGTATTTAAAATATGAGATGTAGGAAAGGTTTGTGAAAGAATGGCGTAAGGTGATTGAAATTGTAAGATCCGGGAGGGCATCCGATTTATCAGGTAGGTAGCAGAAAGAACTGCCTCTGCTCAGAGGAATTTTGGTACATGAGTGGTGAACATAATTGATATAGCTACTTCAAGAATATGTCTATTTTTCCTTTCGATTATACCGTTTTGCTGTGGAGCATGAACACAAGAGCTTTGGTGAATAATTTCATGATCAATAAAGTATTTTTCAAGGGTGGCTTCAAAATATTCACAAGCATTATCATATTTCAACACTTGGATGGTAGCCTGAAATTGGGTTCGAATTATTGTATGGAATTTTTTAAATAGAGGTTCAACTTCTGATTTTTCTTTCATGAGAAACACCCACATAATTCTTGTATGGTCATCAATAAAAGATACAAACCATCTAGTTCTGGTGATGTTAGGGACTTTGGAGGGTCCCCATACATCGTTATGAATCAATGTAAACGGTTTTGATGATTTGTATGGTAAATTAGGGAATGAACTTCGAACATGTTTAGAAAATTGACATACTTCACACTGAAAAGAAACTGGATCTTTTTCTTTGAATAGTGAAAGAAACATCATTTTTTAGGTACATGAAATTTGGATGTCCTAATGTATAATGGCATAACATGATATCATGGTTATTATTTGCAGAAACAGAGTTTGCACATACTACTTTGTGAGCTTGTCCTTTAGAAGTGTTGATTTGAAGCAGATATAATCCTGAGCTCATCCTAGGACTGTCAATCGTCCATCCTGAGTCCAAGTTCTGAAATTCACATATATTAGAAACAAATTTTGCGGTACATTTTAAATCTTCACATCACTTACTAACTGATAGTAAATTACAATTCAAATTTGGAACATGGAGAACTGAACACAGAGTTAAATTTGGAGATAAATTTACAGAGCCCATTCCAGCTACTTTTGAAAGAGAATTATCAGCAATTCTGATTGAAAAAACTTCTTCACACTTGCTGTATTTCTGAAACATTGAGGCATCTCCACTCATATGGTCAGAAGTTCTAGAATCTGCTACCTACACTTGTCCTTTTTCTAAAAAAACAGATAAACTAAGGATATTACCTTTGTGTGCCATA